ATGTATTGATGTTAAAGGATGAGAGAAATGTGCTATAGCTGTTTAAATTACTTTTATTTTCATTTCCCAAATACTTTCGATCTTCTCTCAAGTACGTGTGTGTGTGTGTAATTTTTAAATGATTTTTTTATCCAACATAATTTCTTATTAAGGATAAGAAGTAATGTTACATAAAAAATCCTTTAAAAAAATTTCTGCTGTTTATGTTTTGGTTATGAAACAAACTAGACAATATAATTAACAGTCTTTTGTTAATAGGTTTATTCAAACCTTGCTCTGTCAGGGTGGCTCCATGGCCAAACTGGTAGATGCACAATTTGGCCAAAAATGCAGTTTTACTGATGGAAAAAAAAATGGAGGATGCAGGTTCAAGTCCTGTTAGAGGCACAATGTTTCTTCAGGACTTCTCAATTTAAGTCAGCTGTTAATGATTTCACTGTTTAATAAAATAAAACGGGAGTATCAAATCAAACTCATGTACCTACCAAAAATAACATTTATAGTAACAATACATACACACACACATTATATATATATATATATATATATATATATAGATAATATTAGTGGAAAATATACATACATATGCAAAATATATATAAAAAATTTCCATACATGTATATTTTCAGAAAAAAAAAAAATTTTCCAAGAGGAAGGATCCAGGAAAAACTCAATGTCTAGGACAGAGTAAGGATATAATAAAAAAGCTTAAACACTAATATTCCATGGTCATAATTTATTCCATAAAGATACATGTATCTTTATGCATTAGACATCCGTTGACTTTCTTTCTCCCCTCTTTTTAAATCCCCCCCCCACATCTCCTAAAATTCTCTCTGTTAAGGTTTCATCTCCCTCCTCCTCATACTTACACTTTCTCTAAATTCTGTTTTGATTTCCGGAGTTGTTTTTGTCTGTTTTCATTTTGAATTTGTAGGTCTGATGATTTGGATCGTATTTACGATTCCAATGGAATAAATTATGACCATGGAATATTAGTGTTTAAGCCTTTTTTTATATATATATATATATATATACACACACACTTTGTATGTTGTGTAGTGATCCACCTAGAGTGTTTGTTTTTTGCCAGTGTGTGTGTATATTCGTTATATATATATATGTAAACAAACACACACATATATATATATATATATATATATATATATAAAAACGAATATACACACACACTGGCAAAAACAAACAAACTAGATGGATCACTACACAACATACAAAGTGTGTGTGTGTATATATATATATATATATATATATATATTATTCCATTGTAATAAAACAATATATATGCATGGAGAAAGAATATGTATACACAAACTAGCAAACACACATAATACACAAGATAGGTTTAAAAAGATACAGAACAAAGAACTCCTTCCTTCCTTCTGACCAATCCTAATTGTTTTATTACCCCTTAATCAGAGGAACATTTTTTCCACTAGTCCAAACAAATTCTTCTTGATTACTACTACACAAAAAAGACAATGGTTAAACATAAAAAAAACATAAGAAAAAATTTAATTCCGTTAAATAATATGTGTAAATAACCATTCTTCATCAGATGAAGGTCATAAGACCCAAAACGTGTAGCAAAAAATATGGAAAATGATGTATAATATACATTTAAAAAAATCTACATTATAACCCAAAACATTTGCAGCTTCTCTTTTCTCTAAAAAACACACACACAAACATATATAATCATAGAATAGCTGAGGTGTGGATAAGGAAAATTGAGAAATTCTGGATTTAGTCACAATGAGAAAAGTATGTTCCCAATATTAAAACATTATCACATAATAGGCAACATATATAAAAAAAATATATTAATGAGATTTGAGATCATCTTTCAAAATGTCTTTCCTTTCATTCACAAAAATGTTTGATTATTTTATCTATAAATAAGTTTGTTCACACCTAAATCTGCCCACCCACAATGATACTTATAAATACTCAAGACATGTTGATTATCTCAAGTGGATTTACTCCTCACATTGAGGATTTTATTAAGGTCAGCAATGAATAAAGTCAGATGCACAGCTTTTGTAAAGGAAAAATAATATTTTACCAAAAAAACCATTCCTGTCTGAATTCTTCAGAAGAAATTAGTACACACTGAATTATTGGAACTGCAGACAATAGGATAGTAAATATAAACCGTGGTTAAGCATTGCAGTTTACTGTGTGGTCAGAAGTTCAATCCTTAGGTGGGGCTGTGGAATCTTTGGGTCAGTCAGTCAGTTAGTTATGTGCCATACGTGATACATGCTTAGGTGATCATGTATCTTTTGATACATGACTGACAAGGCAGATTTTTTTTCCCCCCACTGTAGGTTGCCATTTCTTTCTGCAGTAGACAAGTTGCCATCCAAGGCTATAGAACCCAGTCTGTCCTGATATTTACCCATAGCTGGGTTTAAAGAGAAGAAGAGGATTCATACCTTTCCCAAGGGTATTAGCATGTAAGTGAATGTAATGGATTCAACTGGAATTCAAACTCAGCTCTCCGATTCCTCAATCCGAGCCACTATCCATTACTCCACTGTGCTTTTGGGTATGAGAAAAAAAATGGCAGTACAATGATGAATTAGCAAAAGGATAAATTAAATGAATTAAAAATATAAGTTATTTTCACTTGCCTGGAGAGTGGAATGGGAACAATCAACTCCATTGATTGAATAAAGGGATCTCAGGGAAGAATTAACTGATATGAGATATCCCAAAGCATTGATAGATGAATCTAGTCCTGTAGATTGAATAAAGGGATCCCTAGGAAGAAGAATTAACTGATATTCCCTAATATGGGTAGCTGGATCTAGCCCCAGGGATTGAATAAAGGGATCCCTAGGAAAAGTTACCTGATATGAGATATCCCCTAATGATTATTATTATTATAATCCAGTCTGTGCCAACAATTTTTCCTATGACTGTTTCAATATTCTAAGTGTTGCATGTTCGTCTTTCAACTTTAAGATTTGGAAATCTTATTTCTAGACAACTATCTCTTTGCAAGCAAAAGGATTTTTCTTTATTCCTTAAATTTAACTGGAATAACTTAATTTATTGATTCATTCTCTATGGCTTATCAACCCTTTGCATGCTATTTAAAGCCAGAAAAGAATTTTAAGAATTTTTTTTTTTTTTTGAGATGATAATGATTTTAGTGATTAGTCTTACTAATTAACCTGTAGCTGGGGGGAGAAGAGATGGATTCATACATTTCCCAAGAGTATTTGTGCATAAGTCTCATCTACGGTCGCTCTCTCACAGATGCGCCATCGACTCTCTCTGTTTTTTTTACAAATACTTTCATGGTAATTGTTCCAAGGAGCTGCATTTGCTGGTTCCCAGACTTCATGAATTCAAGCGCCCTACGAGGCTGGCATCCCACTCTCACCTTTTCACCGTCAAAACTACTAAATGTAGCCGTCTCTTTTACTCCAATAGCTTCATGTCTCGCAACTCTTGCCTGTGGAACTCCCTTCCCTATTCCAGTTTCCTTGAGAGCTATAATCTCCAACTATTCAAATGTAATGTCAATCGACATCTCCAGTTGCCTTGATCTATCCACTATCCTTCTCCTCATCCTTTCCTCTTTACTCCTATCTGATCTTGCTCCAAATCTTCTGTAGCCCCTTGCGTCCTAGTGGCTTCCCGCCTTGCTTGGGGTGAAATGCTTAAAAAAAAAAAAAAGAAAAAAAAAAAAGTGATATAACAAATCTAGCTCTTTAATTAACAATTCTGAGCCATTATCCATTACACCACCCACACATCCAAGCTTACAGCACCTGGTATTCTAAAATAATCACCCATCTCAATCTGGTGTAACTTAAGTTCGCCTACTGCCTCTTATATTCTGAATGTTTTACCTCATTTTTATGGTATAACGGGGGGGGGATTCATTAGATTGATAATTAATAGTACATGTGGCCCGAAAGGATTAGAACCTGTGATAATTAGACAAAAGAAAAAGTAGTAAAACTTAGAGGTCCCCAGCTTTACACACCAGTAAAGAAACAAATTGATAATAGGTTTGTACATTGTTTTGAAAAATCTTATCTGTGTTAATCCCATTCTGAAAAAGAATTACTTTATTTCATCACTAGAGGGATGACCTATATTTCAGTTTGATCTGGGCTAAGTCATTAGGTGGATTACCGTTTCCCACTCCGGGCAAATGTACCAATGATGAAAACTGGTGAATTCTTAATAAAACTAGACAGCCAAGATGCTTTGGTTAGTTTCATTCCAGCCTCTTGTTGACAGCAGTCAAATGCCATGCCATTGCTACTAAGATACCAACCAACACAAAGAGCTTTCAGGAACAAGACTGACAGAAATGAGAGGAAACTAACTTCTTTCTATACATTCCCACCTAAGAATACTATCTGAAGTATAGTATTGAAATAATATTATCGTGTCCTGTCCCCATTCAGTTGAGTAGAGAGTAATTACCCACAAGCTAACTCATGTTACATACTCATCCACATACCTATGTCATTGTAATCAACTTGTAGTGAAGTTAATAATAAGGTTAGTGATTTCCTCGGATCTTTCTCTCATATCTGTAATTTTCATCTGGGCCTAGGATTTTTGAGAAAAGAATTACCACGATTCCACAATGGATTTCTGCTGTGAGATACACGTTTTTCAAAAAAAGTTCTACCACTGTTGGGAATATTATTGTACTATTTGAAATATATACAGATATTTAATGAAACAGCAGTGGTGTCTAACCCTTCATGATAAGGGTCCATCAGCTGTTAGAGGGTACATTGGGTTGCCAAATATATATAATGAATCTACAGACGGACAAGTGAAGTTGTATAACTGGTAATTTAGTTTTATAGTTGAATATTTTAAATTTATCAATTCTCATCTTTGATAAGAGTTGATCAAAAAGCTGGCTGGCTATTATACCACCTTTTGTTTATTTTGACAGTTAATTTCAATGTATCTCCACTTGTCCAAACTATATTTAGACTTATGGCCATATCACGTTGAAACATTGGTTCTTGTATGATCATTGAAGTTAAGCAACATCGAGCCTGGTCAAGTACCTAAATGAGTGACCATTTGGGAATATCAGGTGCTGTAAGTTTGTATGTGTGGGTTGTGCAATAGATAACAGTTTGGAGAGTAGAGTTCTAATTCCAGTTGCATTCACTTATATGCAAATATCATTAGGAAAATTATAAATTCACCACTTCTCCCCCCAAGTTATGAGTTAATTAGTAGGACTTGTATCAGTAAATCATTATTATCTCAAAATAATACTTTTGATAAGTTGTAAAATAACAGTCGATCAATCAAGATATGTTTACGTGTTGTACTGTTCAGAAATGAAAATTGTGATTTTATTACAGAGGTAATGACAAAATGCCTTAAATCTTATTTTTATTTTCTATTAAATTCTACTTGGAATTTTTGTTCATGAATGAAAATTTAACTTTAAGTAGAGACATGATAAAATTAACTGTCAGAAAAACCCAGAAAAACAAAAACCCAGAAAAACAAAAACCCAAAAAAACAAAAACCCCAAAAAACACAGAAAAAAAAGGAAAAAAAACACAAAACCCCCAAAAAAAACACAGAAACCCCCCCAAAAAAACACAAGAAAAAACCCAAAAAAAAAACCACAAAACCCCCCAAAAAAACAGAAAAAAACCCAGAAAAAAAAAAACAAAAAAACACAGAAAAAAAAACTCAGGTGTTATAATTCCCATTAAGCAATCAGCTTTGCCATCAACCCTGACCCAGTTTGTACTTTAATATGTTAAACATCTCAATGATCCTCATGATAAGACATGATTGAAAATCTGTCCACTTAAAAAAAATTTTCACCTATTTTTGACTAATTTTCAACATGTTTTCACATTTTCCTGCTACATTTTTGTACATTGAGAAATTGTTTAAATGCCTATTCCTGAATTTCCTGTACAGAAATTTCTATGAATCAATTGTTTGATTAATTTTGTAAAAATGCTGTCAAGGTTTTTTATAGCTTCTGTTACTGTTTTTAAAGTACTTAATTAAAACAGTCAATGCCTAATTAAAATAAAAAATATAAATAAATGTCCAAATATTTGTGTTACAGAGTCAAAAAGAAATGCCTGAAATATATTCACTGACAATAGTATAGCTAAAATGTATTAATAACTTTACTGGTCTATTCATAAAATGCCAAGATGCACCATTAACTTTCTACTTGATACAAAAATAACAGAATATGCAGTCAATTGCTGAAGTCTCCTATTGAATGAACAGAACGATAATTAAACTGTTTGTCTACAAAACTCCAGTGTCAAAGTGTTGAATATGACAGATCTCAGCTAAGGACAAACAAATTTATATTTATATATATATATATATATATATATATATATATATATATATCTCCAGGTAAGATGAGAATGAATAGAGTACAATTCCAACATTTGTAACATCTAAAAGAGGGCTCAATACAAAATAGAGCAATATTATTTGTGTATATATCTATCTAACCACACTGATGAGCTGTGATACAGCAAAACAGTCTGTCTGTGTATGACAATATATACGCCTCTAGAAAATTTAATTCTGGTCAAGCACTCTGGAGAGAAAGCACGAATTTGTAAACAATGACTGCTACTGATAATACTGAAAACCTCTTCCACGAATTGAGCCCTCGCATGTTTATTTGAAGAATAAGTACATAAAAATTTGCCTTCCTTTCTACCAGGTGCTGACAGCTGAGGGTTAAAATCAGTCGGGTTTCAATCCCAGCTTGAGGCAATTGAATGTCTAGCTACACTGATGAGCTGTGATACAGTGAAACAGTCTGTGGCTAATGATATATATCTCAAAATGATAGGATAAAGAATAAATAGGAAACATTTATAAATTTAATGTTTTTACTTTTATTAAAGCTTCATCAGAGAATGAGATATGCAAAAACATTTTCTAATATTTTTATTTTTGTGTTTGATTTACATTGCTTAAGCAGACTTCATTTGACTAATCTCGTAGTGTTCATGCATATAATTTATGCATGTAAGTATGATAATTTTAGTTTGACTATACAGGATTCGGATGATAGTGTGTGTGTGTGTGCGCAAGTGTCTTGTAAGCATTATTAATGTTTAGAGGTTGTCTGCTTGTTGATTTGGGTATATTTTTACATCACTGGTTTGATAGTTAAATATACGTTAGAATCTAAGAATGGATTTAATAAAGTTTGATGATGTAATATAGTGTTTTTGATATGTGATTATAGGTGGTAAAATTCAATACTCAAAGTATTTTCAACAAAGAATTATGTTCTTTTTTTTAATTAGGATGACATTTGTAAAATCAAAGTTATAGCCAGTCTTGATCCTATGTATTACAGGTGGGTTTAAATGATTATCTCAATGCAGGTCTCTTTTGTGTTCATAGAATGTTTTTTTCTCATTCTCTGATGAAGCTTTAATAAAAGTGAAACATGTTCCTTTTTTTTTCCTTTTGAGTCATTTTACAGTCTTGCATGATTAAGACACAATGGATTACTGAATGTGAAAGAATAAGAAAAAAGAATAACATTATTATGAAGAGAGAACAATAGAAGAGTAATCAAGAAGACAGTCAATAACGATTGACATTACATTTAAATTTATGAATTTGGCTGGAAATAAACATTTATATATATATATATATATATATATATATATATATATGTGTGTGTGTGTGTGTGTGTGTGTGTGTTTTAATAATTTCAACCCAAGCAAGTTAATGAATCCACGGAGGCACAAGGGACGTGAAAGAATGAGAAAAAGAAAACATTAAGGATAGAGAATGATAAAAGAACAGAAATGAAGAAGGCAGAAGATAATGATTGACACTCCATTTAATTTTTGGAAGATCAAACATGACTGACAAGGAAGACAATTCCACAAGTGAGAAGTGTGAGAGAAACAAACTATTGGCACAGAAATTATGGTAACAATAAAACTATTGCATTCTACTTTTAGAGACAAGGTAATATTAAGAAGATATATATATATGCACAAAGACACAAGGTAATAAGAAATAATGCACAGTCTGTTGTCATGGTAACTGAGGCAAAACTTTCACTAACCAATAAGAAGTAGATTTATGATTGCAATGTAAAAGAACACAAAAACAAATGAAATCAACACAGTGCTTGCCTTGCTCGACAGCCAACTTGATTTTGCCAGACTATCATTGAAAACAGTAATTAGGAAAGCATCTAACCAGACACACAAGTGACAGGTGCTAATTTTATTTCTTACAGTGTACATCCAGGTAAAAACCACTCGTCTTTGCTTCTTAAGAATTTTCTCTAATTCTGGGGAACTGGAGCCACATTTGCTTCTTTTACATTCACCTCTATTAGACTATCCAGTGTCCATTTGCAAAATATCCTCAATTAAAATTCCTCACATAAGACAGAAAAATATATATTATAAAGAGCACTTTTTTTTTCTGGTCCATTTTCTGTCCATCTTTAGATATTAGTAGCTGTGTTTCACTATGAAAAGTTTTCAATGGCATGTCTAATTTATAAGAATATTAGCAAAAACCTTAACCCTGTGTTAGTCACATGGGATGTTTTGTTACCTCAAAAGTACTTGTAATTCCTAGTTGGTAACTGGTTTCTTTTGCTCCCTCCAACTACTTTCCCAACTCAGTGAGTGTGTAGTATCTGGTGTGGCACAATTGTAGCTCAGTCATCTTGGAAAGGCAAACATTGCTTTGTCTTCTTTAAGGTGTCCTGTCACCTCACTTAACTAATGAAGGTAAGTTTTCTTGAGTTGTGCATATTGCAAGAATGTAGCAAACTTGAGACAGGTGAATCAAATTGAATAGTAATGGCTATATAATGAGCTCACATTGATTTTTCTTTCCATTTCAAGTTAAGGAAATATATTATGGCTATTTTTGATGAATAAAACTTTTCTCTATTATTGTAATATCTGTCTATATTTCTGAGACGAGATATTGTAACTATTTACATTGTTTGGACTATTGTTATCATCTTTATTACCATATTAATGACATTTCAGCTGTTGTATGCTCATACTCATGCCCTCATTAAGTGATATACATTGGAATTTCAAACCGAACCCTTTATTTTGTCCACCAGGGTAGATTGTTCTACTTCCACATACCATGCCTTTTCTGAATATCAGTTATTTCCCTTTAGTAACTCAACTCTCCAAGTATTTATCCACCTCTGCTGTGGCCAGGTATTAAACTCACAACTCTTTAGGTTAAGTCACTGGATTACTTCAACCAACACTTATCCACTGGGCCATGTATCCTTGGGGAACTAGAACCAATGTCGATATTCACTACATCAATTGTGTTATAAAACCACAATGATAACCAATGTCAAAAAGTGTGGCACTAGATTTAAATACTTCACTGATGTCCTTTAAAATGATGGCATAGTGGATATCATGACCTTGTGACCTGTAACCCATTAGGGTTAATTCATGTGCTGCAGTAGTAGTGGTGTTTTCTGGGCAAGATAGCCTGATGGAGAACCCTCTCCAGGCTGGTTTTGAATTCAGAAATTTTTCTTCTTGTAGACTGGTTGCCACCCAAGGCTATAGGACTCTGTATGTCCTGCTATTTACTCATAGCTGGAGGGAGATGAGAAGGATTCATACCTTTCCCAAGTCAATGTAATGTCAATTAGCATGCAAGTCAATGTAATGAACTGAACTGGAATTTGAACTCAACTCTGCGATTGCTCAATCCGAGCTTTTAACCATTACTCCATTGTGCCTCCATAGGATACTGGATATAGACACTGGATAATCAAGTAATACCAAGATTAGGTTTTTATTGATTGATTTGTTTCCTATGGATTATCAACTCTCTGCCAGTTATTTAAAGCCAGAAAATATTTTAGATTGTAAGATTTTTTTTTATTTAATGCTTTAGTGATACAAGTCTTTCTAATTAACCCATATCTTGGGGAAGAAGAGATGGATTCATACCATTCCCAAGGGTATTTGCACATAAGTGAATATAATGAATCCAGTAGGAATTGGAACTTGGCTTTCTGATTAACCATTCTGAACCATTATCCATTACACCACCCACACATCCAATCTTACAGCACCTGGTATTCCCAAGCTGTCACCCATCAAGAAACTGACAAGCTGACATTGCTTAACTTTGGTAATTTTACAGGAACTAGTGTTTCAATGTGATGTGGCCGTAAGCCCAGGATTATGTAATGAAATTGAATAAAAATAACAATAATTAGCTCATATGAAGATATCTCCTATCAGCCCCAAAATAATGGTCACCTGAAGATAGCCAGAGAGTACTTAGCTGAAATGTTGTGTTTGTAAAAACATCTATAACAACTGAAGATGAGAACCACATCTACATTTGGATTATTTTCCTCATTTTGTTATCACAATGTTCCGGCCATTGTGTTCTCTGGTCTTCTTCAGGTGCTTGTTGATCCAGCTAACCTTCAGAGAATTTTGAACAGAACCGTTTATCTAATTCATGTCTAGGGATCTACCAGCCAAAATATTGTAATGATAACAACAAAGATGAAGGCAATAGTCTGAATGTAAATAAGGTAAATAATGAAGCCCTCATTCCAGAAATTCAGACAGAATTGAGAATAGTAATTTGAATAAATCAGACAATTCCTATTCATGAAAACAGTTCTGTGTATTCACTAGGTGAACTTCTGAGTAAGAAGAATTTATACATTGCATACTTACCACTAAACTACACCTCCTTTTCCAACCCCAAGAAATACTCTATGAAAGATAAGTCCTGCTCATTTAACATGAAACCCATGTTAGATATGCTGTATTCAGGAAAGTCTGTGAAAGCATTTATAACAATTGAACATGTTTAAGTGTCCAATAATCCTAAAGCTCTAGCAATATGAGATTTGTATAATTAATGGGTCAGAGGCGTATTATTGAATTATTAATATTATATGACATTTGCTGATCTGGTGAAATGGATAATCTGGCATGATTCTGGAATCAAGGATGCAAGAAAATATGTGGTGTCCAAGTGCTTCATTCTTAATGCAACAGAGATTCAAACTGTATATAAATTGATTTCAGATTTATAATGAAAATAAAAATAAACTATAAAATGAAAATGAAATAAACTGCAAAAATATGTTAAAAAGGAGACAGGCAACATAAAAAAAAAATGGGAAACAGACAAAGATTTTCATAGGAAGAAAAAGGCCCAAACTATATCCCCATGTTTATGTTTCAATCACTATATTTTGGTTCAGGTTTCTTTTCGGGCAAGACTTAACCATAATATTATATTTCTGCTTGTTCCTTAGTTAGTATACATCTTTATGATCTGTAGTAATTTACCTGTCTGCTGCCGACAGATTCTTAAAGCAGACAGAGTAAATTTCTGAAAAGAAAAACAGCAAGAGAGAGAGCAAAAAAGGTGACAGCAACAGAGAGAGAGACAGCAAAAAGGGGTCGGGCAACAGAGAGAGAGAGAGAGAACAAAAAGGGGTCGGGCAACAGAGAGAGAGAGAGCAAAAACAAAAAGGGAAAGGGCAAAACAGAGAGAGAGAGAGCAAAAAAGGGGTCGGGTAACAGAGAGAGAGCAAAAAGGGTAACAGAGAGAGAGAGAGAGAAAAAAAAAGGGTGCAAGAGTAAGAGAGAGAGAGAAAACAAAAGGGTAAGGTAACAAAACAGAGAGAGAGAGAGAGAACAATAAGGTGTAAAAAGAGAGAGAGAGAACAATAAGGGGTAAGGTAACAGAGAGAGACAATGCAAGAGAGAGAGAAAAAGAGAAAAAAAAAGAGAGAGAACAATAAGGTGTAAGGAACAGAGAGAACAAAAGTGTAAGGTAACAGAGAGAGAACAATAAGTGAAAAGAGAACAGAGAGAAACAATAAGGTGTAAGAGAGAGAGAGAGAACAATAAGGTGTAAGGTAACAGAGAGAGAACAATAAGGTGTAAGGTAACAGAGAGAGAACAATAAGGTGTAAGGTAACAGAGAGAGAACAAAAAGGTGTAAGGTAACAGAGAGAGAACAAAAAGGTGTAAGGTAACAGAGAGAGAACAAAAACAAAAAGAGAGAGAAAAAAGGTGTAAGGTAACAGAGAGAGAAGAAAAAGGTGTAAGGTAAGAGAGAAACAAAAAAGAAAAAAAAAGAGAGTAAGAAGAAAAAAGTAGACAGAGAGAGAGGTGTAAGGTAACAGAAGAGGTGTAAGGTAACAGAGAGAGAGAGAACAAAAAGGTGTAAGGTAACAGAGAGAGAGAGAACAAAAAGGTGTAAGGTAACAGAGAGAGAGAGAACAAAAAGGTGTAAGGTAACAGAGAGAGAGAGAAAAAGAGAGAAAGAGAACACAAAGAGAAAAAAAGGTAACAGAGAGAGAGAGAACAAAAGGTGTAAGGTAAGAGAGAGAGAGACAAAAAGGTGTAAGGTAAAAGAGAGAGAGAAAAAAAGGTGTAAGGAAAGAGAGAGAGAACAAAAAGGTGTAAGGTAACAGAGAGAGAGAGAGAAAAAAGGTGTAAGGTAACAGAGAGAGAGAAGGAAAAAGAGAGAGAGAGAGAACAAAAAGGTAAAGGAGAGAGAGAGAGAGAACAAAAAGGTGTAAGGTAACAGAGAGAGAGAACAAAAAGGGAAAACAGAGAGAGAGAGAACAAAAAACAAAGGAACAGAGAGAGAGAGAACAAAAAAGGTGTAAGAACAGAGAGAGAGAAAAAAAAAAGGTAACAGAGAGAGAGAGAAGAAAAAGGTGTAAGGTAACAGAGAGAGAGAACAAAAAAAAAGGTAACAGAGAGAGAGAGAAAAAAAAGTAAGAGAGAGAGAGAGAGAACAAAAAAAAGAGACAAACAAAAGGTAAAGAGAGAGAGAGAGAAAAAAAAGGTGTAAGGTAAACAGAGAGAGAGAACAAAAAGGTGTAAGGTAAAGAGAGAGAGAAAAAAAAAAGGTAACAGAGAGAGAGAGAACAAAAAGGTGTAAGGTAACAGAGAGAGAGAGAACAAAAAGGTGTAAGGTAACAGAGAGAGAGAGAGAACAAAGAGAGAGAGAAGGAGAGAGAGAGAGAGAACAAAAGAGAGAAGGTAGAGAGAGAGAGAGAGAAAGAGAAGGAACAGAGAGAGAGAGAACAATAAGGAAAAAGAGAACAGAGAGAGAGAGAGAGAGAACAAAAAAAAAAAGGAAAGAGAGAGAGAGAGAGAGAACAATAAGGTGTAAGGTAACAGAGAGAGAGAGAGAGAGAACAATAAGGTGTAAGGTAACAGAGAGAGAGAGAGAACAATAAGGTGTAAGGTAACAGAGAGAGAGAGAGAACAATAAGGTGTAAGGTAACAGAGAGAGAGAGAGAACAATAAGGTGTAAGGTAACAGAGAGAGAGAGAGAGAACAAAAAGGTGTAAGGTAACAGAGAGAGAGAGAACAAAAAGGTGTAAGGTAACAGAGAGAGAGAGAACAAAAAGAGGAAGGAAACAAACAGAGAGAGAGAGAGAGAGAGAGAGAGAGCTTTTGGCAAGTCTCATTCTGCAGTGTGCTGAGGTCATATATTAAAAAGAAAGGGAAGATGGCGGAAGTGATAACACTCATTCTCATATCAGTGAAATGATATAGTAATATGAAATTTTCCAGCACAATGATTAGTTTCAGTAATAAAAATTAGCAAAAAACATGGAATTTCCATGGGTTCCACTCAACATGATTAAAAGAAATTAATGTCATAAAAACCTATTTGAAGAAATGATTATAGCACCATATGCAATATATGGTATGACTAGATATTACTTGTTTCTTGAGCACTGCCTGTCTACCAGGGCAGCTAGCAAATCTCTATTAAAGATGCCTGCTTCACCCACAGAGCCCACCTGTGGTTTATACTGCAACTATGCTGAGCAGACCTTTGTTACAGTTTCTGGGAGAGAGTGCATAAGCTGATGTGATCAATTTTGTTTTAACAAGCCAGCATGTTCAAACCCTCAGTCACAATGACTTGTGACTTTGTGCTAGCACAACCATAAGCAGCTTCTGAAAGGTTCTGTCTGCCCAATTTCACTCACAATGCTTGAGTCAACCCATGGTATTGTTTTCAGACATTTTTCAAAGGCTCCATATCATGGGATCGCCTCACCAGGCCACTATTATCAAGAAGTCACGTCCCTCATGAATTCACCATGGTAAGATTCGAACTTGTCTCATGGCCAGAAAGCAAATATTCTAACAACTTAGGCACATGGCCATACATGACTGTCTAGCTATCTAACGAATGCTTACAATGTAAAGACAACATATTAAGTGCTAACCATAAAATATCTTTGAGTCTAGGTAGTATAAACAGAAGTGTAGTAAAATTAAGTCCTATTATTCCTATTATAACTAGTATCCTTTTCTTAGTTGTTTTGATCACAATCTTTCACTTAGTGTGTTCTCTGATCTTTCTCAAAATGCTAAATGGGCCTAACGATGATAGAACCCACTACTAATGACATTTAGCTTTGACAGAAAGTCACTGTCACATCTATTACAATTTAGCTTTGACAGAAAGTTCTAGAAATCTTTGTTAGTCATCTTGAGATTAAAGCAGTGATTTTCAACCAGTGTGCCATGAGAAAAAGGTCATTAATTATATTATTTTCAAAAGAAGTCCAAAGGACAATAAATGTACATATCAAAATTAAAACCTCTTTAAATTGCTTATAAAAGTATATAATTGCTATAATAAATAAGCGTCAATAAGATATAAAAATATAAAAGTATGCTATTCTGTAATAAATAGTATTAAAAACAAAAAACAATCATGGCTAAAATACTTGAAAGAACATTTAAGAGTATGCCTGTCCAAAATTCAACCTTGCAAAGAAGAAATTTAAAAAAAAAATGCCAAGCTTAGATATCTCATTAAATGTTAAATTATAATAAACAGAAAAATAATCAATTTTTTTTTTTAAGAATTTTAATTATCTTTTTATTACAAATGATAATAAATTGTTCTATCTGTGTTAATAAATAAATTATAAATAATATACTCTTTTCTTTACTGTTTTTGAACATCATCATTGCTGCACAAGTTTAACTCTATGTTTAAGTGTGCCATGAGATAAAAATGGTTGAAAACCATTAGTCTAAAAATAGACCATTTGTGAAAAGTAAGGAACAAAAACTGCCCTCATTAAGAAAACCATAATCCATTATTCATTGATGCCCATAAACATGAAGACATGCGCACAAATGACAATGCAGATGCACACAATAACAATCATTCAGCAACATGCAAAAATGTATTAATCCTGACCCGCATGAGTATATGTGTGTGTAGGTATAGAGATGGGTAAATCAAATAACTAGATATTAGCAACCGTATATGCACATGTTAGCATGCATACACAGGTAAGCAAATGAATATTTACTAAATCTACTTTAAGGTGTAAACGTAATAGTGCTCAATGTGGTTAGACAGATCTAGGAAATATATATTAATAAATATACATATACCTATGTTTAGAGTACGACTTAAGTTTTGTTGTTTTACCAACTCATCAGGCACAAAATATTACTTACGATTTAAAAAAAAAAAAAAAAAAAAAAAAATCATGATATTTTGTGCTTCATGAGTTGGTAAAACAACAAAACTTAAGTTGCATATATAAAGTCAAACACACACACAAATTTTAATGTGAATCCTTAGAATTTGATATAAATTTATAAAGCACCTGGTTGAGATTGAACTTATTCTCAGTGGCTTACAAGAACACTTCATTAACCACTGCACTCCAGCATCAAACATATACTCCCAACCTATTTCTGCAACTCCATCAAGACTCAGTTCATTAAAGTTTCAGAGATGAATGATATACAAGCAGATGCTTCTGCTGTCATTTATGCAGAAGGTAATAGTGACGAAACTCATTTCAGAAAAAAAAAAAAAAAAATACAATCAACGTGGGAGAGGGCACTCGTTAATTTAGTTTTCCTCCCCAGACTCTTTTATTCTCCCGTTGACTGAAAAACTAATTTGATGCTATAGAAGAAATGAAGAGTAATGGCAACTAGAAGAAATTGAAGAATCTAGTTTTGGAAACATTTTTTTTTCCCCTTCTTCACCACTTTCAAAAATATTTTTTTTATTATCTCATTATGTTTTACTATTTTTAATCAATTTCTGATCATATCAATAATTTATAAACACTTTCCAGGGTGGGATTCAATTTTATCCACACAGTTTTTTAAATGAATTTTTTTTTTTTAAATTTTTTCATTTTATTTTATTTTTTTAAAATTATTAATTTGATAGGATCAAAAATTCCATTTTAATGGATAACACTTGTTGGGGGTGGGGTTTTTGAAATTTAATTTAATGTATACATTATTTTTTTATGTATTTTCCTAATATTTAAAAAATCTGAAACTGATATGGCAGTTCAATTACAAACCGAAATAAACAGATCGCAAGTCCAAACTCGAATACCCCGGGGCTGAAAGAAATGTCAAAATCACAAATTGCGGGTCCAAAGTCAAAAATCCCAATACATGTAAATGGTCAGAAAGACATCAGTCACTCACAAGCTGATGGATGAGGTAGGAAAATAAACTGCCTCCCAGTTTTAAGAACACGAATCGCTTTTATCAACAGACTATTTTTTTTCATTGGTTGGTTTGGTTTGTTTTATGGCATATCAACCTCAATGGATTATTTAATATCAACAAGATTTTTATAGCTGGTAATATTTTTTTTATTTAAAAAATGTATTGCTGATAATATTTATTTTCTTCTAAAATGTATTGCTGGTAATAAGTTTTCATTCAAGAAATTTATTGCTGGTATTAAAACCTATTTTTACACTTTCATAGTGCTTTAACCCTAGTTTAGGGGTTAACTATTTTCCCATAGCTGGGACCCTAACAGATGCTACCACCCTGAGTCAGAGTGGACCTGGGAACACCAGCAATTAAGAGGTGGTTCCATGCTCCTCAAAACCTCGTGATCAGAGGTCTTTGCTATTGGGCATCTTACTCAGGACGTGGATGTAGTTTATCGTCATACCCAAGATGGTTTTTCATTGGTTGATGGTTGGAGAGGACAAAAAAATATTAGTATATCTGAGATGCATTTATGGCAACAGCTGCGACGAACTTGTTTCTCTTTTGGTTATTTTGTCTTTGGCATATCGTAAAGAACACACGTGCCCTTTTTCTCAGTAAGTGACTCTTGTCAATTTTGATCATAAAACTTTGATCATATCAATTTTAGCAGCTATCAAAGGCATCTAAATTGTTCTATCCAATTTAAATCATATGTCTTGGGTCAGCTTGTGGTATTGTTTCCAGTCACTTTCCAAAAAGTACCTCATGTTTGGATTGCCATTTCAGTTCGATAACATCAAGATTTCATTTCAATGAACAAATATACCAAGTTGAGACACCCATGGTCAGAAATTGAATGTTCTAACCACTAAGCTACAAAAAATTAACAAATTAAAAATTCTATCAATCTAATAAGTTGATAGGTAGGA